ACAGTTTGTCCCCAATTCCGGCCACTTCTTCGTCGACCCCATTGAACGCCAACACGAATGAGGGCTCGAGTCCTCTGAAGAGGCTCTACCCGTTCATCGATGAGTCAGAACTGCCGAAGTCGTGGTCATCGAAAGATAAGGCGAACTTCATAACGCTGTCGGAGAATAACCTCAAAGTCCACTACAAAGGCGTCGGCAAAGGACACAAAGACGCGGCGGCCGTTCGCGCCACTCATCCCATTCCCAGCGGATGTCTCCTCTATTACTACGAAATCAAAATCATTAGCAAAGGAAGGGATGGCTATATGGGCATAGGGTTGGCCGCACAGGGCGTTAATATGCAACGACTGCCCGGTTGGGACAAACAGTCCTATGGATACCATGGAGACGACGGCCACTCATTCAACAGCAGCGGAACGGGTCAGCCGTACGGCCCGACGTTCACCACCGGAGACATAATCGGTTGCGGATATAATTTGATTTCCGGGAACTGTTTCTACACTAAGAATGGCCTCAATCTCGGCGTCGCGTTTCCCGATCTGCCCAACGTTCCGCTCTATCCGACGGTCGGCCTCCAGACGCCCGGCGAGGAAGTCGAGGCCAACTTCGGCTGCGAACCCTTCTGTTACGACATCGAAGAAGACATTAACGCTCTCAAGAAGCAATTGACCGAATCTATTGTCGAATTTCCCGTCAAATACACCGAATGGCAGACAACGATCCACCGTTTGGTGCAGTCGTGGCTCATCCACAACGGCTACTGCGGAACCGCTGAAGTGTTCAGCGAAGCCACTAAACTAGACTTCAAAGAGAATGTCCAATACATTCGACAACGACTTCGTATTCAACAGTTAGTTCTTAGCGGACGGATAGGCGAAGCCATTCAACTGACGAACCGTTTGTATCCCAATGTGTTAAAAGACAATCCGAACCTCTTGTTCGCACTCAAGTGCCGACAGTTCGTCGAGTGGGTCAGCGGTAATGAGTCGGACAAAGCGCCGATCCCTAGCGCTATGGCGGCCTCCTATTCGCCCAACAGTTCCACGAATGGTGTCAATGACTGCAACGGCAACGCAAACGACGTCCAAATGGATGTCGACATCAATGACAATACAAACGACACGAACAACTCGTACTCCGAAGAGCAAAGTGTTTGTGAGGAAAATGAGGCCAAAATCACGCGTCTGTTGGCGTTCGGCAAAGAACTGCACGCTTTGTCTCAACAACTGAAGCGACAGTTCGGCACAAATGAGTACAACAAACAACTACTTCAGGACGCCTTCAGTCTCCTGGCATACAGTGATCCGTGGAATTCGCCGGTGGGCTGGCATCTCAACCCCAGTGAACGGGAGGGCGTGTGTCAGCAGCTGAACAACGCCATCGTCATGTCGGACGCCGG